GCTGACGTGGTCGAAGCTCTTTCCTATGTAGAGGGTAGCCTGTTTAACCGGTTCTTTTCGAAGTAGATTCGAAGTAATGGTCTATGGTTTTGTAGCAACAGCCGGGCGTACCCGAGTCGCGTTAGTTTGGCTGGTACAACCGTATGACCGTAGTCATTTGTGTTTGGTCGGAGCCATTTTTGGTCCCGAGTGTAGTAGTTTAGGTTTCTATATCGAGAGTATGCCTTTTCAGGGATCTTACAAGTTCGATATATAGCCTAAACTTCAGGATTGAGTTTATGTGTTTAGTAAGGTCTTACAAAATTTTCATGCCTTTGAGGTCTTACAGTTTTGTTGATACTTGGTACAAGTATGATTCATGCCTTACTTGAGGTCTAAAAGTTTTGTTGATGCTCGATACAAGTGTGATTCATGCCTTGCTTGAGGTCTTACAGTTTTGTTAATACTTGGTACAAGTATGATTCATGCCTTGCTTGAGGTCTTACAATTTTGTCGATACTTGGCACAAGTATGATTCATGCCTTGCTTGAGGTCTTACAGTTTTGTCGATACTTGGTACAAGTGTGATTCATGCCTTGCTGAGGTCTTACAGTTTTGTTAATACTTGGTACAAGTATGATTCATGCCTTGCTTGAGGTCTTACAGTTTTGTCGATACTTGGCACAAGTATGATTCATGCCTTGCTTGAGGTCTTACAGTTTTGTCGATACTTGGTACAAGTATGATTCATCCCTTGCTTGAGGTCTTACAGTTTTTGTTGTTGCCTTATATAGGTCTTACGAGACCGAGTCATCCCGCTCGGGATCTTATGGCCTCGGGTTTTTTACTGAATGGCGATTAGCGACAGTCTCCGAGTCGTCTAGGTTGTTTTGGCTCGGGAGTCGTTACTCCTCAACTCGGTATTGCTTTATTGAGGGCTTACAATTTCGGAGATTCTAACCCTGAGGTCGTGCGATTTTGAGTTTTCGATACCAGTCCCCGAGTGTTCGGGGCACTTTTGGCCTTGGAGGTGTTTCATGATTTTCACGCTGCCTCATAGAGGGCTAATGAGTTTGGAGTTTCGACGCTGAGGTCATGCGGATGCCGAATCATTGACGCTAGTCTCCGAGTATTCGGGACGTTTTTTATGGAGGAATCGTTTTGGCTAAAATGCTGAGTTTCCTTTGGAGTATGAGATGCTTTGACAAAAGGTGTTCTTTGATTGCTTGGCACAAGTACTTGTGTCTCCGCCCTCGGGGGACCGGCTATGCGGACATGATTCATTCTACCGTTTGGCCCGGTACATCATATTCCTATTGGGACCCCATTTGGTATTTTTTGGCTTTTCCGAGGGGATGATCTTCCAGGGGGATGCCCTCCAGTGTTCAAGGTTGATTGCGAAAGAAGCCTTGAACATTTGGCTGGATCTTCCTTAGGTAGAATATAAATGTTGCCTCTTTAAAAACCTTGACGGTAAAACCCTTCTTGGGATGAAAACCGGCCGAAGGAAAAGAGTACAATGCATGCTTTCGAAACCTAAGGCCTTCGGGTTGGGAAGAGCTCTGGTTGTTTCGATCGGGTGCCTTCATGAGGGTTAGTATGAAATATAAAATGAAAAGGGAGATGATTATACCTTAGCGTGGGATGCACCGGCGATGTTCCGAGGTATGATATGTCCCTGTCGCTTGTAATAAGAACGCGGTACGGTCCTTCACTATGTTTAATCGGGCTTAGCCGATGATGTAGTTTGCTTGCCCTTTGGTTCTCTCGAGAGTGGAGATATTGGTGTCGGTGCCATGTCTTGCACCGCGAACATTTCTCTTGCCGCATGTTGTTCCCCGTAGACGATTTTAATCCCGTCCTTTGTTGGGAATTTCATCATTTGGTAGAGGGTGGATGGCACTGCTCTTACGCAGTGTATCCACGATCGTCCGAACAAGGTGTTGTACCTCATGTCTCCTTCGATGACATGAAATTTGACATTTTGGGTCGTGCCGGCCACGCTGACTGGGAGGGTGATTTCTCCTTTCGTTGTTTCACTGCCATGTTGAATCTGTTGAGGACTCGAGAGGCAGGCACGATTTGGTCTAACAATTCGAGCTGCTTTATTACCCTCGACCTGATAATGTTGGCCGAGCTACCTGGATCCACGAGTACACGTTTTATTTGAAATGTATTCACGAAGAAAGAGATTACCAGTGCGTCATTATAAGGTTGAGGCAAGGCCTCGGAGTCCTCTTCGCTGAAGGTGAGGGCATCCTCGGGTATGTACCCCCGAGTTCGCTTTTCTCTAGTGATGGATATTTTTGTCTTTCTCATCACGGGTTCCTGGGGATCGTCGACGCCTCCCAAGATCATGTGGATAACATTTTGTGGCGTGTTCGCTTTGTTCTTTTTGGCCGCCTCTCTTTCTCGAAACTAATTTTTAGCCCGGTCGCTTAAGAATTCTCGGAGGTGACCTTTATTGAGTAGCCTGGCTACTTCCTCTCGGAGTTGGTGGCAATCTTCGGTCCTATGGCCGTGAGTGTTATGAAATTCAAATACTAAGTTATGATTCCTTTTGGAAGGATCTGAGTGTATAGGCCTAGGCCATCTGGTGCCTTAAATTTTGCTGATGGCGAAAACGATATCCGATACATCGACATTGATGTTGTATTCTGATAAGCGCGGTGCCCCTGTTGGCACTGTGTTTCCATCAAATCCGGTTCTGTTAATGAGTCCCCGAGGATTCTGTCCTCGGTTGATCAATCGATCGTTGCGAGGTGGGTTGCGCCTCGGGGCGTTCCTCCTGTCTTCGGTGTATGGCTGATATCTTTCCTTATTTGGTTTTGGCTCCTTTGTCAGAAGCCTACTCGGGTATACTGAGCCCGAGGGGGCTCCTAGTTGATCATCCTCGACCCTGATCTTTGACTGATATCGGTTGTGGACGTCCGACCAGGTTACGGCGGGATATTCGATCAGATTCTCTTTCAGCTCCCTTGAAGCTACTGAGCTCTGCTCATTCAGGCCTTGAGTGAAGGCCTGCACCGCCCAGTCGTCGGAGACCGGTGGTAGTTCCATTCGTTCCATTTGGAAGCGAGATACGAACTCACGCAGCATTTCGTTCTCCCTCTGCTTGATCTTGAACACGTCAGACTTCCTCGTTGCTACTTTGATGGCACCGACATATGCCTTTTATGAAGGAGTCTGCCAGCATGGCAAATGAGTCACCATGGAGTTGGGAGCTAGGTTGTGATACCACATCATGGCCCCCTTCAAGAGTGTTTCCCCGAACTTCTTCAGTAAGACGGACTCGATCTCCTCGTCTTTTAGGTCGTTGCCTTTCACTGAGCACGTATAGGCAGTAACGTGCTCATTGGGGTCTGAGGTCCCATTGTATTTTGGGAGTTCTGACATTTTGAACTTCTTTGGAATGGGTTTCGGAGCCGCTTCCTTAGGGAACGGCCTTTGCACGAACTTCTTCAAATCCACATCTTTTAGGACCGGAGGCGCGCCCGGGATTTGGTCGACCCTGGAGTTGTAAGTCTCAACCTTCTTGTAGTTGGCTGCTATCATTTTCTCGCCTGATTCGATCCTTTTGGTGAGGTCCTCGAGCATTTTTATGATGGCGGGATCGGCTATCGACCCATTATTGCTTGACCTCTCTAGTACCTGTTCTGCCGGGGGAGCTGTCTCCGGTGCTACCGTGCTAGGAGTCTTCTGGTGACTTTGTAGCTGAGCAATAGCCAGCTGTTGTGCCTGCAACATTTCAAAAATAACATGAAGGCTAACTTCCCATTCTTCCCGAGCTGGGGTTTTTTGGGCTTCCTGTTGGTCAACTTGGTGTATGCTCCTGTTAGTATGGGAGCTTATTTTGACGTGTCGAGCGTCACATGAGATTCCGTCCGCTAGAATCGGTCCTGGCGCGTTCTCAAGATTTTGTGGCGACTCACTAACACCTGGAACAACCACACCATTTTCTCTGTGGTTCTCAATATTGTTGTTTACTGAATCAGACATTTTAACCTGAAGTCGAAGATCTTGGACAAGAAAAACTGTGAAAGATAACTCGCGTTATGTGATGAAACCAGCAAGAAAATAATCACTATTATTTTTAGCCCCACGATGGGCGCCAAACTGTTTACCGTGAAAATGGTAATAACAATTAAATTTATTGATGGGACTCTAAAAATACGTGATCTATTTTTATACTAGTTGTTTAAGCAGATGATGCTATATGTATAAAGTTTAGAGACGAAATGCGAGCTAAAATAGAATTATAACTAAACCGATGAGCTAGCCAATCGGGGCCTCGGACTGACCGATACGGGGCCTCGAGGTTGATTCCTGGGCTCGGGCTCGAGCTATTAAGGGCAATCGGGGAAAGGCTAACAGTTGTAAAATAATCAGCGAAGGCTCTTTATGACCAATGATAAGCAATAAATGAAGAACAAGTATGAAGAGAATAAATAAGAGCAACAATATCGAGAGAGTATGTTAGAGAGAAAAAAGAGAGAGTTCTTGTATGTTTAGTGTGAAGTAGTTGGAGAAACAACCGCCCTTTACAAAATGACAAGGATCTCCTTTATATGGAAGGGAAATCCCTACACGGTATAAAATACATCAATTTTAAAGATATGGAGATGGGACGGCTAGACATGACACCCTGATTCGGGTTCAAAGTAGGCCGTTCAGAGTAGGCCGGCTACACTACAACAAATACGAGCTACGACGATATTTAATTAATGACCTTTATAATAAATGTCGGAAAAAAGATAATTTATTGACATTTGTTAAAAAATGGTACTTAAATACTAAAGATGACAAATATATTGTGACATTTGATTAAAACGTCACACAAGTAGTAATAAAATGACATTTAGTTGGTGACATTTATAATAAATGTAAACAAATTACTACTTTTTTTTCTTGGTAAAAAAGAAAATTACTACTTACTAATTTCAAAAGGAGAGAAAATATTTTTGACAAAACTTCCCCCCAAAATTTTCCTACTGAA